ATGATATAATTTTTTCATAAATAATTTTTATTTTTATTTTTATTTTTATTTTTATTTTTGTTTTTTATATCACTATTAATTGCATCCAAGTATTGGTTATACATCCAACATGCAGTACCAATAAATGCCAAAGGGTTTTCAGAAGAAGGAGGAAGATGTTAAATCTTCTTCTATATGCCATCTGGTAAAAAGGGAAGATTATTTAAATTCTAGATATTGGTTCATTGAGTCAACTGTAACCTATGATACAAGGGCTAGTCTTTTTAAAGTGTCATCTCATTGACTTGAATACAGCAATTTTAAGGGTAACCAACATCAGTTTGTGATCAAATTTAACTTAGGTTAAACATACAGTAAACATTTGATAAAGGTCAAACTTTGATAAAACTGTACATCTTAACAATTGTTAAACTTATTTTTTTTTAACATTGAGAGTTCTTGAGTGATTACGTCCCAGAATGTCTTATCTTCTTATATTTGTGCAAGAAGTTAGTAGCTGATAAATTTATGATGAATTAACGATTTATCATATGCGTACAACAAATTTTTATTATTGCGGAACAAATATAAACCTTTTTATTTCCTAATTTGGGGTAAATGTAATCTGATTGGTTAATTAACATAAACAACTTATGGATTATCTTTATTTATTGAAAAAATTAAAAATTATAATTTATTTATAGTCAATCAATGTATTTTATAAAAAAATATATTATTAAATTTACACATTCTTTTATTTATTTTTAAATTTTTTTTAAATTTTTTTCCAAATTTTCCTAATTTTAAATAATAAAAATATGACTTGCACTGGGGTTTGTCACAGCTGGTCTAAACATGCCACCCTTATAAACAATTGTTATCCAAATGGTCCGAACGAGTTGAATCCAAAGTCAAGCGAACTCTCATATCTTGTATTTTATGCAAGTTCAAAGCCCGCAAAACTCACAAAATGTGGTGCCCATTTAGAAAAAAGAGTTGCTAGCGATGTTAAAAAACATAAAAAGCAGTATGTGTATAATTTATTATCGTTCATCTATTATAACATTATTAATAATAACAATCATTTTCTCCGGAAATTAGAGATACAGATGTTTCCTTACAAATTATTTCAAAGTTATTAGGCTCTTGTAAAAAAGATTTAAATCTATTTTCAAAGAATGTAGTCAAAATCATTGCTGCCTCTTTAAGTACAAAAGATATTGATCTAGTTGCACGAGCATGTTCAGTGGTAAAGTGTATATATATATATTACATAGATATTAAGGATATTCATACATACATACAATACATTTTATTAAATATTATTATTATTATTATTATTATTATTATTATTATTATTATTATTATTATTATTATTATTCTTAGTTTATTGATTTTTGTTCATATCATGATGGAACAAATCTTGGATTAAATAATAAATT